GGCAAACTAGACATGAAGGAAGCCTATACTCAATTAGAGTTAAATGTCGAATCAAGGAAAATTGCAAATTTTCAAGCAGATGAGGGAGTCTACCGTCACAAAAGATTAGTGTATGAGATCAACATTTATTTATCAGTGACGATATTTTAATATACGCATCAGATGAACAAGACTTATTAAAAAAATTAGAACTTTTGTTCATCAAAATAAAGACATTAGGTCTGAAGTTAAATTAAAAAAGTGTATTTTTGCTCAAAAGAAAATAAAATTATTTGGTATTGAAATAACTAAAAATGATATTAATCCCGACCCAAACAAAGTAGAAACTATCAAGAATGCAAGATCATTAACAACGGTCAGTGAGCTTCGAAGTTTTCTTGGTTTATGCGCATATGTGTCAAGATTTATTAGAGACTTTAGTGAAAAACAACAATACTACGGGAACTATTAAAAAAAAATTAAAAATTTAATTCGAAAAAAAAAAATAATGACGTTTTCAACATACTTAAACGTAAATTATCAAGTAAATCCGTTTGAGCTTTTTATGATCCACGCAAAGAAGTACAGTTAATTACTGATGCTAGTAAGCATCAGTAATTAACTATATTATGCCATAGGTGGAATACTTTTACAAAAAGAACGAACATGGATCAAACCAATCTGCTACATAAGTAGATCATTAACCGCAGCTGATTTAAAATATAGTATTACAGAAAAGGAAGCTCTTGCCTTGGTATGGGCTATTGAAAAGTTACATTTGTATTTATATGGAAAAAATTTTAAGGTCATAGTGCACCACAAACCTCTCAAGTTCATTTTTTCTTCTGGTTCTAAATTAAATGCACGTATTGCAAGATGGCAAATCAAATTACAGGCATACGATTTCAATATAATATATCAAAAAGGAGAAAAGAACATTGCAGATTTTATCTCTAGAAACTGTACTCCAAATGAAATACATAGTGAGTCAGATGAAAATAAAGTTGCAGCATATGTAAATTTCTTAGTGACAAAAATGGCACCCAAATCAATATCACTCAAAGATATAAAAACGGAGACAGCAACAGACATCAATTTAGTTGCAGTAAAAACAGCGTTATTGTCGGGTAAATGGCATGACAATCCAATACTTGAACCGTATCGTATATTTCAAAATGAGTTAACTGATCACGAAGGAATATTACGAGGAAAAAAAATTGTTCTATCAAAGCCGCTTCAAAAAAGAGCTTTACAAATTGTACATGAAGGACAAGTGTTGAAAAGAGCATAGGATTATTGCGACAAAAAGTTGACTGGGTCATTATGAATACTGATATAGTAGCGTATGTTGAAAAGTGTTTGGGATGTCAACCAAATTCACGTGTTCCAAATGCTGAACTAATAAAAATGTCGAATTTACCTGAACATATTTGGGATAAGTTAAGAATGGATTTTTTCGGACCATTACCGTCAGGAAAGTATTTATTTGTTATAGAAGACTTATATTTCAGATACCCATTTGTTGATATAGTAAAAATCACAACAACTTCAAACATAAGTAAACTAGAAAGATTATTCGCAAGACTATTGCCTCCAGAATTAGAAAACCGGTCCTTTAGACATCTAACAAATAAGCTATAAAACATATAAAAACAGCTAAAAAGGAAATAAAATGTAATTATTCAATCGTATTTCCCAAAAGGAATGTAACTTAAAAAAAAAAATGCATGTTTTGTGTTATAAACATTGCAATAAACAAATACCAAGGTAACTTTATGATTTTTTTTTTTTAAAAAAAACATCTTTTAGGCAGTTGCCTTATGTTATACGATAAAAAAAAATATCTTGTAGGCAGTGGCCTTATGCTATATGATAAAATAATGAGTATAAATTTATCAAAGTTTGTTTTTTTATTTCATATTATTTACAACCAATTGTTGTTAGAGATTATTTTTAATTTTATTTTTATCAAATATAGAATACAATAATCAGTATTTTGTTCAATTTAACAGCTATATCTAACAAACAGGTGTATTGTATGTATAAACCCTTGAAATAGTACATTTAACGTAAATTTGTATGTGTGCATTTTTTCATTTTTTTTTTTCTCAACCTTTTTACCCTTCTCCATTAAGGTGTGGCACGTTAAGAGTTGTTCCATTTGGTAATTAATTTACGATATCTAAACAAAGCTGTGGCAAACACAAAATTTAACCGAATTAAGGTGAGTTATGGCATTTATTGTAATAAAATGAACTTTATCAAAACAAGGTTTTACACTCAAAAAATCAATTTTTTTATAAAAATTTATTGATATTTCTTCCAAATAAAGATTGAAGATTCTAAAAATAGAGATGTGTCACAAATGACACATCTCTATTTTTATATAATTATCCTAGAGTAATCCTGAAAAACTCAAAAAAAACACATTTGACTTTTATTGTTTATACTAAAAATTACATAACGAAACTATTCATGTATTTTAGGAAATATGGAGTTTTAATTTTTTTTTTTTTTTTTTTATTATTCATTTTTCTAGAGCAGACTGATTTTTTTTTTCTGGTGTGTTCAATTTAAAATATAATTGATAATTTTATGTACTATTTTTAAAATATTAGGAAAAAAATTTTTTTTAATATAACAAAAGATATGTCTGTGGCACATATACCGTGAAAAGATCTTTACAGCAATCAGTTATAGTATCAGTAATGAAAAAAACTTTTATTAATTTGATCTAACAATATAAACAAAATTTCGTCTAAACTTATATTAAACGATCAAAGCTGGGCTAGGTACTCCTCAGCCTCCCAGCACTTTAGGTCTACTGGCCTCTGTTTGCCTTCTAATATTCAAATTTAACAGCAGTTTAAAATAAAAAAAATTTTGTAATTGTTGCACTGTGGGGTTCTAATGTATTTTCTTTTGTATTTAAACAAGCATCTCGCGTTATTTGTCATTAACAAAACGCTGCAATTAGTATAGGTTTTAAAATATTTTTCTTATACATTTTAAGCTTGCAAATGCAGAGATTACATTTTCTAAGTCAATGGATTCCAGTATCTGGTTTTCTATTTGAATAAAAGAATGATCTGAAAGACGTTCCTGACCTGTTAAAAAATGAATGAATAGAATATTATATGTACCTTTAAAAATTGAAAAATATATGAATCTGCTATTAACTAAAATTGTTATTGTTAAAGAAATATTTAATAAACAGTTCTCATTATATATTAAATCATAAATTTCATAAAAAGAAAGCTAAAGGCAACAGTTCCATTAGATTCCACGGCACTTACTCCTACGAGGCTCAAAGAGAGAGAAGCATATAGAATATATTTGGCATGACCGTTAATCTCTTTAATTCTTGCTTGCAAATCAAAGTAGATTCCAAACATATTACTGGCATTTTTGTCTAAATAGCCGCGGCAATTTCGAATGTTGATCTTATACAAAATTAACTTTTTCACAACGATTTGAAGCATGGAAACTGTAAAATGACTATGCATGGGTATGAATGCTAAAAACCGCTTAACTGATTCACCGTTTTGTAAAACATTACTCAAAACAAAGCAGAGTTGGTCAATGTGCTACACATTGGGAGTAGAATCAGCGATGATTGAGAAATATTTTGCAAATTTGATTTCGCTAACTAAGAAATTAAGTTTGAAGTAAATAAAAAATGTATACTACAGCAAGTTACTTAAGGATCATATTACCTATAAATTCCGAAACTTTGGCGTCTATCAAGTTAAGGAATTCTTCACAAATGTCTTTAGATAGGTACGAGGTACTTCCTTTTCCTCTGTTTCCATGAGTTATTAAGTGTTAAGCAAGGAAAGGATGAGATTTTACTATTAGCTCAATATATTCAATAAAGTTTCCGTTGTGTATCGACCCTAGTTTTTTGTCTGATCGGCGGAATGATAATCTTCTGAGAATGAAAAATAAATGAAATATCCAATTATTTTTAATTTTGAAAAAAATTTTAGCAGCATTATAAAGTGATATCGCTTGATAAGTGTGATTTGATTAAAGTATTTATATACTCTTATTTATTATATACTCTTTTTTGCGCTGGTATTGCTTGTTTAACTATAAATCTATCCGTTCCTTGACTGCTTCACTTCAAGATAAGAATGCAGCAATATCATTAAAGTGTTCTGTGGTCTGTTCATAATCGCTAAAGGAGGTTTTAGCATTTTTCCAATTCCAGAATCCTCTTTTTTTCACATGAGGTACTCTTTGATTTTCCAAAAAAAAATAGCAAGGTACACAGTACATGCTTCCATTTTCTTTTGAAAACTGAAACCAATTGTGTAATACTTTTCTTCCTATTTTTTCTTCCGTTCTGAATGGTCTGAATTCCAGTCTGAATGAGCTTGACAATGTTTGCCTCCAGAATTACGGTACTCTGAGGATGAGAATTTTTACAATTTTTCCTTATTTATTTTGGGCGGATTTATCAAAATGCTTTTTTTCATCTTCTGTTTAAATTATTTTTAATTTTTGTTCCATTGTCTTTTTTAATTTTATTACGCTTTTCTTTTCGTTATCCTCTCTTTTAATAACTTGGTTTATATATCTATTTGTTGTTTTTGTTTTTGCTTGATTTATTTATTAAATTTGTTGCTCTTTCCCCATTTTGTTCGAACTCGAAAGTTCTTTCAAGCCGTTAAAAAATAAGTCTAGTTAACGGTGCGTCGTAAGCAATATTATTGCAAAGATGGAAAAATATCTGGGACATGACAGGAAGTCAAGAATAGAGGCAGATGGTATTTTTTCTTTCAAGTTATATAATTTTCAAAACTTCACTTAGATGCTCTGTCCCTGTAACTTCTTGGCCTGCCGGCACGTGACCGTTGTGTCCGTGGGTTAAACCGTGGCTAAACGACAAGTAAACAAATGTATTTTACTGACTTTTCCCCATTTATTAACATTATTTTTAAAGTGTTCGGTACACAAGTAAAGTGTTCGATACTTAGGAAGGAATCACTTGTGACCCGTACCGTCAGGCTTAACGGCGTACCTCATACACCGGTTTGAAGATTCGCGGGCCATGTAAATAACAAATAAAAAACCGTATCCCTTAAAAATCTTCACGTAGTAGTGTAAGTTTCACATGTGCAGCCTGTGCCAGTTTTTCTCTATCATTTTTGCAGCATTTTTAATGTTTTATTTATTTTAAGATAATGACAGAGCGAGTATTATCAGAGTCCAACCAATCCTTGTTTCAAATTATTATTGAAGAAATATTGAAGGAACATTCTGTTATGTCGAATTTACATATGCATGTTTTTTGTAAAAAGACAATACCATTTAGAGAATTAAATTTTAAGAGTTGTATATATTCTGTAATACTTCAAATACTAACTATTTTTTCTGCAATAATTAACTGGTTGATATCTTATCACCTATTAAAGTCTGGTTCGTATTTTTTGTATTTATGGATTGGGAATATCGAAGTCTTAATTTGTTTGCATATTCTGATAAACTTATTAAATAAGAACTACACCAAACAGATTTTTTTGTTAAAGAATTTATATGTGACATGGCGTTTGTGGCTATCTTTTATTTTTTTAACAATAACCTACGGTTTAGATTTTATGGCATTTACTAAGAAATCTGCAGGCTCTGAGTTTTCGCAATTTAGTCAAGTAATTTTACTGCCTATAATGTTAATACTGATACATTTGATCTACGATATCAAACTTCAGAAGTGGGTATACTTTTCTATTTTTCTAACAACTATCTGGAAATTTATATCTCTTTGTTCTGATTCTGAATTCAAATTATCTTTTTATCTTAGTTTTTGCTGTTTTATTTATTCCTTTATCCACTGTTATTATCTTATTCTAGTTAAAGTTTTTTTGATAAAAGGTTCAATTTTTCAACTTTTATATTATCAAAACATTGTTTCTGCACTTTTCCTACCTTTTGTAATACTTCTGAACAATCAATTTAAGTTTCCTATTTTTTCAATAGAAATTTTTTTTTGGGCATTCTTTTCAGCAACATTCAAATTTATTACTTTATTTATAAATTTTCTACTACTAAAGAATACTGATTTGTTAATAAATGCAGCAGTTTTAAATGTTCCATTTCTTGCAAACGACTTGATAAAAGCATTAGTCTACAAGTTGGATTGTCATATATCAGCAACAAGAGTCGGTATTATCTTTGTGTGGGATTGGATTTCATTTAATTTTGCGTTAAAAAAAGTACAATAGATATTTTGAATATTTTTGATTAATATAGTTTTGTTCTTAATTGATTGTAATATTTTTATAATTTGTTTATAATTTACAATCTTAAAAGGTGTTCTTTAATTTGTATGTCTTGTATGCCTTCTTTTTTTTTTGTTTATTTAAATAATTATTAAACTAAATATTTTGTGTACAGGTTGGGTGACATTCCATGAACTAACACAGCAGTTTGCAATTAAGTTTATTTTAAATTATTTTAAATTACCTAGAGACTTCACAAAGTCAATAGGACACAAAATGCTTTAATTTGAGTTATTTTTCTTCATTTAATAATTAAAGTTAACAGTCCTTTAGTCAGTTTTTATTTGTATACCTAATTTTATAACTTACATTAACTATATAATAAATTTTTGCAGATACCAGATAAACCCTGAGGGTTGAATATGATGAAACATGCTCCCTATATTCCTCTATAACCTGTAAGTATATGCTCACACACCATTTGTCAGTTAATATAGTGACAATTTGTAAAGCACTTCTAAATTACTACAGTGTAAAAATGAAAACAAAAAATTATTTATCTATAAATAATGTCTAAAAATAGGTGCCAAAAACTAAATCCTCCATCAATGTTCTAAATCCCCTTGTCCATTTTTGTTTTAGTATGACATCAACGAGATTTTATTTGTATATAGATACACATTATATTGTATCTTAATCTTTCATTTGTAAAAATGTATATTTTGTAAAAGTATTTTATATATATATATATATATATATATATATATATATATATATATATATATATATATATATATATATATATATATATATATATATGTTTATGTTAAATCAGAAATTATTTAAAATGAATACTAAAAATTGACAATGGATTTTGAAAGTCAAGATAAAGAACTTTCAAGACGGAATGGTTTTAATATTCACCCAAATAATGTCACTTGGAAAACTGGTCTTATATACGATCAAAAAATGTGTGAATATTTCAACTTAGAAGATAAAAATCATGTTGAAAGACCTGCAAGAATATCAAGTATTTACAATGCACTTAATAAAAATGGTTTGACATGTAGGTGTCAAATTTTAAAGTCCAGGTTTGCATCTCATGATGAAATATTATTAAAGCACAATGAACATCATCTAAAAGTGATAGAATCTCTTTCTACCAAAACTGACGAAGAATTAGGCAAGATGAGTTGTGATTATGATTCTATATATTTCCACCCTAACAGTTCAGAGAGTTCTTTTCTTTCAGTTGGTTGTACATTAGAAGTTGTTGAACAGGTATTAAAAAAAAATATTTTAAATGGTGTTGCAATTGTAAGGCCACCTGGGCATCACGCTCTTACACACTGTTCTATGGGATTTTGTCATTTTAATAATGTTGCTATAGCAGCAGAATATGCTGTAAAAAAGTATGGTTTAAAGCGTGTTTTAATTGTTGATTGGGACATTCATTTTGGCAATGGAATTCATAAAATGTTTGAAAATGATAATTATGTTCTATACTTCTCTATGCACAGGTATGACAATCAACGTTTTTGGCCTTGTTTAGCTGAAGGAAATTATAATTCAATAGGTAAGGGTGATGGTGAAGGTTTTAATGTTAATGTTGCATGGAACAAATCAGGAATGAATGATGCTGATTACATACTTGCGTTTAAACATGTTTTATTACCAATAGCAAAGGAATATAATCCCGAATTAGTTCTTGTATCTGCTGGATTTGATTCAGGTAAAGGAGATCCATTAGGAAATTGCAAAGTTACACCTGCCGGTTATGCTCAAATGACAAAAGAACTAATGTCTTTAGCTGATGGTAAAGTTGTTATTGTACTTGAAGGTGGTTATAACTTGAAAACATTAGCCTCCTCTATGTCTTCTTGCCTTGCTACCCTTTTAGGTGATCCTATTAATGTGGTAATAAATTCTAACAAATCTAGTTTAAGTGCAAAGCAATCTGTGGCAAAAACATTATTTGCAATTCAAAAGTATTGGAAATCGTTAAATATTATTGACCAAATGTTCTTTGATGTTTTAAAACTGGAGAATGTGGAGCAGAGTAGTTCGTTAAGTACATCTTCAGATGAAGATATTGATCTTGTTATGGATGGTTTAACACAAATATCAGTTGCTCAGAATTAATGCTATTATTTAATTTATAATTTTTTTTTTGTTTAGAAACAGATATTTTAAAAGTATGACATTTTATTTCCATGCAAAAATTTACTTCAAATACTAAGTATTTTTACTTATTAATTCATTTGTATTTAATATCTTAACTGCTTTTATTTGAAATTATGTTTGTCCTTTTATATTAACTATGTTATGTTTATATTTTGATTTTTTTTTAATGTAAAGAAAAATTTATATACATAAAATCAAATTTTTTTTTTGATGCTCTCTTACTATAGAAGTTTCTGGTAAGTTCTTTAGTATTGTATGTTGTAAAAAACAAGCAGTTATAATCAAAATAGAATAATTTAATATTGGTAATACAGATCATTCAATTTCCTTTTGCTTGACACTGTATCATATTTGTTGTTGCTTGCATATTTGGCTTTTCCTGTTGTTTAGCATTTTATTATCCAAGGTGGTTGAAGAGTTTTGTTTCGCATGGTCATGTTTATTGCACTTCATCTTGTTTAAATTATAAATATTTGTTTAATATAACAAGTAACAAGTTTAATATAACAGATAACAAGTGAATTAATATTGATAGTATTGATTTTTGAGATTGCTATTTAAAAGTAATGACTTCTTAAAAAATTTAGCAATTTGTTTTTAAAGTTTAAAGTTATAAAATTTCTCTCATTTTTCAATTAAGTTAATAATGCATTATTATTTTAAGATAGAATGAAGATGTATTATTCTAAAAAATTTTATGTGCTTCTATTTATAAAATATTTTTATAACATTAATATTCTTTATAACATTTTCAGGTCATTGAAACTGTCATTGGGCATACATTGATTACACTGGCAGGTTTTAGTTGTGGCATGGATCAAACTTTTGTTCTTGTTACAGTTAATCCTTGTGTTTTTTATCATTTCATTATTAATAAAAATATATATCCATGATAAAAGTATGTAAAAGTGTTTATGTACAAATATAAAGTATAATGATAACATAGTTTAATTGCATAAAATAATGCTATATATGTTTTCTTATATTCGTTTTTTAAATAGAAACACTTATATTAAATTATAGCATATATGCTAACATGTGTGTTAAAATACTATGCTTAATATATTAGTATTTTTTTTTTTTTTTTTTTTTTTTTTTGTCAGAAACACCTTTACACTTTTTTGTTTTAAGCAAATGTATTTATAAGTTCTTGATTACATCATTGTCTTGTTGATTTCATGAAATGTTTTGAAAAAAAAAAATTGTTTCTTATGCATATTTGTAATTTTTACAATCAATAGCAAAAATTAATTATAAATTTTTTGATCTTATATATTATTTTTCAACATTTTTTAAATAAATTTTTACCATTTTTATCTTCAGGTACCAGGTATCTGTTCCCAGGTGTCAACATCTATTAATAAACAAGTTTTTAAATAAAATTTTAAATTAATAGTCATGCTTGTATGAATAAACCAGTGCCAGTGCTTTTAGTTGCAATCTCATAAATAATACTAACTTAATTTTTTACAAACATCTAAAGTATATCTAAGGCAAGATTTTAATGACATAAAAGTGATAGATGTTAATAAAAACTACATATTTGATAATATGTTTTCTAAACAATCTGCAATTTTTTGAAATGTGTGTGTGAGAGAGAGGGAGAGAAAATATAGATATTGATTGGTTGATTGATTGATTTGATTTGTTTTTTTCATTTTTTTTGCATATAATACACTATACTTACTAGACTACCTGGTGGGCACCTGAGACCTGTAAAAGTTGATACATAATATATAAAAAAAAAAAAATTATAGGGAGTGTATAAAAAGCAAATATAAAAAAAAGGTGCGCATAACAATAATAATAATGCATCATGCTATAATTTTTTTAATAAAAAAAATACATTTTCTCAAAACAAAAAATGTGGTTTATGGCTTTCTGAAAAAATAATTCAGTTAGCTTACAATTATAGACTTCATGTCATCAAATATTAAAAAAAAGTTATTTGAAGCACTACATAATAGTAATAATCATCAAACTGAGGAAGATGAAAGGTACATATTGTCTTTTTTGATTTGAAAGTAAATATCATAATAGAATTTTATTTATTATGATAATTTTTATATTAACACACAAACACACTTACATATTTCCACAATCTTAAAGTTTATGCATTCTGTGATTTTTATTATCTGATCATAGCTTACGCAAAACTTTATTGTTTCATTAAAAGAAATTGTTTTTACAAAAATATTGCTTTCTAAAGAACTGTTATATTAGCTGCAGGGATGCGGAGTTGCAAAAGGACTCCGGCTTTATATCTCTATTTTTTCCTGGTATCTGGTTTCCAGAAGCTCTGAACATGTTAGTTGACTTATGATCTGCTATATAAAAAAACTCATAAAATTTAATGACTTGAAACATATTATTATTAAGCCACAAGTCCCGGAGTCCTTACCATCATTATACCTCCATGTTCAAAAAGTGATTGTTTTCTCTACCCTAAAAGTTCAAGATGGCTTTCTTGTAGTTACAAATATTTCTATATCAAATGGTTTATGACAGTGGATGAAAACAAACAATTTGCGACAAAGTTTTATTATAGATTAAGGCAAGGCAAAATGCATTCTTTTTTAATGCAGATAATCATCATTTAAAAAGAATTACAAAAAAAAAAAACTCTAGGTGAAATAACTAAACAATATTGACTTAAAGAGAAGAGTTTAAGGGTTGTCACTTTTTTTCCAGCTAAAGCTGTTGAAACAGCTTTTATTCTGTAGCCTTAAAGAAGGAAAATATTGAGTTCTTATTTCATCAAAAGTCAACTAGAAAGGTGTTCTTGGTAACAAACAGACAAAAAGTATTCCCTTCTCACAGAAAAAATCATAAGAAAAGGACAGTTTAAATTCTGAAAGACAAATAATAAAAAAGAAAAATTGGAAATGAAATTGTTGATCCTAAAGGCCTCCTTGATTCTTTTGTTAATGTACTAAAGTTCTCATTGATACAAAAAAATTGTTTCAATGTAAAAATTATTAAAAATAGTTACACACTATATACATTGCTTTTTTTATATAAAAAGCACATTTTTAACATTAGTCTGTAGCTTGAGCAGGAAATTTGGTCATCAAATGATTTTTTTTTGCGTTTTTTTTTTTTTAATTACAAAATGTGTTATTTGAGATACTTATTATGTGTTATTGAGATACAACTATAAACAGTCTAAGTGACTGTTTATAGTTGTTCGGTTTATTTAAAAAAATAATTGGAGATAACTTTGCTGTGTTTGTATCAGTTTAGTCATAATTTTTTTATTTAGTCTAAATTGTTTTTTGTAAACTGTATATTGAAATCTAGTTTGAATAAAATGAATTAGTAAACATATTTAAATCGTTGTTTGCATTTATTATTAATTAAAAATTAAAAATGTCCAAAAAGCAATTAAAACTGCTATCAATCGGTTTTATAAAAATGCTTGTCACAAAGGGTGAAAAAATATATTAGACATTCCAAATGTTGCTCATTTATATTGGAATGCCATTTATAATGGAATGCCATTTGTGACCCGAAGTTTTTAAAGAAACTTGTCACAAATGGTATTTCAATGCATTTAAAATGTAAAAATCAAATATACAATCAGAACAAAGATAAAATTGTAAAGCAAATTTTTTTTAAGTTTGGAGAAAAAGAAAAAATAATTGTAAAAAGAAAAAATAATTGTAAAAAGGATCTTAAAGAATTGCTTTTTCTAAAATGAGCAGTGACATGGGAAAGATAGAAGATGATTCATTTCAAATCAACTGACTTATCTTTATAGCTTTATGGATTTTTCAGAAACAGAAGAAAAAAGTAAAGAATGTTAAAAGAAAAGATTGCTTCCCCAACCCAAACCCTCAGTTAATGTATCTGCACTCCTTTGTGGCAGCAGGCTATAAGATAGTCTATGTACAGACTATAAGATAACCTATGTACTTAAGACTCCCTGGGCAACAGGCTATTTCAGTGTGAGGTTACACTGCTTATCTGAAAACGCATTTATAGTTTTATATATATATATATATATATATATACATGCATATTGATAAAATATGATATAAATTTCAATTGAAGATAAAATATTTATAGGATCCATCAAAATTTATTTAAGCATATTATCTGTTTCGGCTTTCTTTTATCAAACCCAAGCCTGATCTTGGTCAAATATTCAACCCAGTTCTTTACTACTTTAGATGTCAGTGCCCAACCAGCTGCTGATAATAATATTTTTGATAACTTGTTTATTTAACACACAGTCCTAAATGACTGTATATTGTTTGTATTTTTTGAGAGAATTGTTTTAAGTTTGTTTAACAGTTTACTTATATTTTCTGTTTGTCAACAAGATCTTTGTTTATAAGTTAGAGATCTTGCTTATTAAAAAAGGATTTTTTTTTTTTTTCTTTTTTTTTAAAATGCAAAGTATCTCTAATACTAGTTATTTATCTAAAAAATGTAAAAATCCATAAGTTTTTTTAACTAGTAGATGAAATTATATTTTTTATGTTTTTAAAATTTTTATTGATGTTTATCACTTATAAGTCATCATATATTCTAATTATCTAAGGTTTCTCCAAATAATGTTTTATTAATAACAATTATTGTTAATTTATAATTTATTATTATTGATTTTTGAGTTCATCAATAATATTAATATCAAAAAATTCATGGTATATTTTCTGGGTCTATAATTTCTTTGGAATTTGTTTTATAAAACTAAACAAACACTCAATGTGTTATTTAAATCAAAAGTAAACCAAAAATTGTAAAACTCTTGTATAACATTTTTTTGTCAATTATTAATTATTAATTTTGATGAATTATTAACGTCATTTTTAATAGTAAATATAAATATAATGTTTTTGGATGTAAATGTTTAGTGAGATAATGTTATGCAACGTTTATAAAAAAATTTGAATTTATAAAAAGTTAAAATTGTAATTTAATATTTTGCAGATTGAACTTGCTAAGCATATCAAATATTGAAGATATTGATATTGGCAATGAAAATCAAATTTATTCAATTGCATTAAATCAAAATGGCAGCAAAGCTGCCATAGGATTAGATAGTGGCTCATTGCAAGTATATTAATTTATTTATTTTTTAAGTAAACAAATTTGCAAGTGTAAAAAGTATATATAAATATTTACTTTGTTTGTTGTTGTTGTTGTTGATAAAGATTATTCGGTTGATTGCAACATTCTAATAAAAAAGTGAAACTACTACGGAATACGTTGTTATTGCTAATTATTGGTTTTCTTCATATATTAGGGATCGCACTCAGTTTGTTTCAATTAATGGATTTGAATCCACACATAAAGTTATTAAATATGGCGTTCCACAAGGTTGCGTTCTTGGACCGTAATTGTTTTTATTATATATAAATGATTTATCTTGTTCATTAAAAAATTCTATGGTTCATCATTATGCTGATGATACCAATATTTTATATATCAACAAATCACGTACGACTCTTTGCAAAAAAGTTAATCAAGATCTTCATTGCTTATGTAACTGGTTAAATAGTAATCGTATTTCCTTAAATGTCAATAAAACTGAATACATTATTTTTCATTCCCTTCGAAAAACTATTGATAATATTTAAATTAAAATTAACAGAAAAAAACTTTTCTGTTACTATGTTCCTAACCAAAATCTTTGAATGATTTATTCTTCTTTATTCTCTTACTTTCGCTATTATTGTACTGTTTGGGGTCAAAAAAGAAACTTTTTGCTTGATAGCATTGCTAGTTTACAAAGCACATCTATTAGAATAATGATGTTTTCGCCAATAAGATCTAATATCCAAAAAAAAAATTCTGAACTAAAAATCCTAAAACTCCATGATCTTGTAAAGTTTTACAATTGTCTTTTTGTGTTTGACTTTCTCCAAAATAAACTACCAAACTCTTTTTTAAACTTTTTTATTAAAACAAATGAAATTTATAATGATCACACATAGTAAGCTATATTTTTCTATTTTCAACACAAATATGCTAAGTTTTCCATAAAACAACAATGTATTTCTGATTTGAACCAGTGTATTCCTGCATTAATAAAAAAGTCTTTAAAAAAATATCCCCTTGTTACAAGTTATTTACTGCTTAACAGAATTCAATTTAAAAGTTGGAGTGAATTTCTTTATAATTTCTCTCTGTACAGTGTCTTTATTATATAATTTCTTTAACGAGCAAGTGGTTTGATTTTTGCTTTATCATTTATCTATATTATATTTATTATCATGTTATTATTGCTACTTTTAATGCTATTATTATATTAAATTATCTATGATATGTACATACAATTTATATTGTATTATAAATATTTTTAATAATATTGATACTTTGTTATTATTATTATTATTTTTTATTATTACAATAATTATTATATATATATCATTATTATTTGTTAAACAATTATTTCTTTTTTTTTTCTCTCATTTATATATATATATTTTTTAATTTCTTAATTTCTTTATTTTTCGAGGATTTTATGTTTTTTAGGTGTCACTCCATTGACTAGTTTGTAACTATATGAGTGACACCTAACCAAATTCTATTAGTTTACAATGAGATTTGTAAATTTTATTGAAATGGTTGAATACAAAATATATATATATTGAAGATTTCTTGGATATAAATTTCAATAAAGTTTATAAAGAGAGTAATTATAAAGTAAAAACATTCATATTTTTATTTTAAGAGAGCTGGTCGTCATCAAATAAAAAGTACAAGAGAATTACTTTTTTGTATAGATTTTTTGCAAATCAAAATAACAAATTTGTAACCAGCATAGTTCATGATTGATATCTAAAAGTTAAAAAAAAAGGTTTTATAACCAAGGGTAAAGAGTTAATTTTTCTTTTTTTATAGAATTTTTTTATTGAGTCTGGCATATAAATTATTTTTTCAAAGAATTATTCAAAAGTTATAAATGGTTTTTTACAGAAAGCACATTGAAAATAAGCTTTCTGTAAAAACTTACCAAAAACCAATTAAGTTGGGTTTTTGGTAGGTTTTTGCTCTTGGGTTTTTATGTACCAACCCTGGTTGTATAACAAATACAAATAATAACAGTTAATATATAACAGTTAATGGTATGTAAAAGTATCTTATAACACATTAGTAAAAAAGTTCTGTGCGTAACCACTAAATCAGATATATTTTTGCTTTTAACATGATATATGTATGATTTTTCATATTATTTGTATATATTTTAAAAGATATTAAAGTTTTATGATAATCCATATTCTCAAAACTTAATTAAATTTTGAAATTCACTGTAGTTTAAGTGAAACTACTTATGTTGTTACAAAAACATCTCAAATTAGCAAATGACAATGCAAAATGTTGATAAATTTCGCATTGTATTTTATCACATTTAAGCATCATTATATTTTCTTGAAAATTTTTAAAAATAATTGTATCATTTTACTTTTATAACTGTTTTCATATTTTCAACTCAAATTTTTATTTTACATTCTTGTGACTGCTTACAAAAAATATAAATTACTGAAGGAATTTTAGCTATTATTTTTGTATTTATATAGGCAATAAGTAAGGCTCTTCAAGCTCTTGCATGGTAAAAGTAAATAATATTTTTTATGAAAAAGTTATAATTTATTTTAAAATTTTATAATTTTTAAATGTAGTTAAGTATTTCAATGGTAGAACTTTTTTTCAAACAAATGCTTATATTTTTATATTCTGTGTTGATCTACTTTTTATTTAATTTTTTATGGGTAAAGACATTAAGTTAAGAAATGGTTTTAAAAACCCAGGTTCCAATAACAATAATAGTCATCAAACATGGTTGGTTCTGATTATGTTCCATCAACAATAATCATCAAACATGGTTGGTTCTGATGATGTTCCATCAACAATAATCATCAAATATGGTTGGTTCTGATGATGTTCCATCAACAATAATCATCAAACATGGTTGGTTCTGATGATGCTGAATCTTTTTTTTTTTTTTTTTTATTTCTGAGAAAATTTATCAATATTATTACTTTGAAAATCATTATGGACATTGAAAAGTGATGTTACAAGTGGTTCTAAAGATTCAAAAGATTCTAAAGTTTTTTATTCAAAAGAAAGATTAGTATTTTTTTTTAATTTAAAAGATAGATTCTAAAGTTATCAAATAATAGTAATTAATAGTTTTATACACAAACATTTTTTTAAATTTTAAGTTTTTAAAAGCTATACTCCCAATGAGACCTTCTTTTACTTGGACCTATCAAAAATAAGAACAAGTTTATTGTTTAGAGTGCTATTAAGACAGGTTAAAGAAAAATAAACCTGGGTTTTGCATAAATAAATGAAACATGACTTCGCCATTTCTATCTAGAATCAAATTAACAGTCAGTTCAGTGGTAAGCAGCTGGTAAAAACTTTTTATAGAAATCAAAAAAAGTATAGTTTATTATAATCTCCCTTAGATAAGAAAAACAACGAACAATCTATTATATTAGGACATAGGAGTGTTTAAAGACCAAAATTGCCATAAAAAGGCTGCACATGATGAAGAAAAAAAATTTATTTCATCAACACTATGGCACAAGTCAATGAAAATAAATGCAAAAATGCATGAGTTAGACTTTTAATTGTTTCTGCACATCTGTTTAGTCCAAATCTAGTAAGTAATTATCACTTTTCTACAGTAAAAAAGTTGCTCTTTGGCAAGAGATTTGCATCATTCAATGAAATCCATTGCAGCAGTTGAAGCCTATTGAGGCAAAAGTCAAACTGTTTTAAAAGGGTGGCATTTAAGAGTTAGATGAGCATTGGAACTATTGTTTCTCTCCCAAAGGAGGCAAATATTTTCATATATTGTATCGAATAAAGATATTTTTTAAATAATTGATAATAATAATGAATAAAAAAAAAAGTTTTTTTTCTTTTTATGCTTTATGACTTTGATGTATGTGGTGTGTTATACCATGTGGTGCATTACACCATGTGGTGTGTTACACCATGTGTTACTTTTGAACTGGTTGTTTACTTTTTATTTAACATAGATTGTTTATTGTATATATATGTATCCTATGATATTGCTCAGTATATCTATTTTATTGTTCATTATATTGTTATTTCTAATCTTGTTTTTTGTGCCATTAAGTCCTTTCATTAGTATTAGCACTATTGAGTCTTTACTTTCACTTAAACTCAAAGAAATATTAAAAATATCTTATAAATATTTACTAAACAACCTTTCTTCAACTAAACTTTTATTTTCAATTACAATTATTGTTTTAGCTTTTTAACTGTTATACTTGGGAAAGAATTCGAAAAGTTAGAACTAGTTTATCTTGCAATCTACCATTGGTTGCAGTAAAGTTTTATCCCTGTCTTACAAGAGATGTTGTTTTTACAGCTGGTAAGACTTTTACTATGTTGGGTCTGATTTTACTATAGATGTGAAATTAAAAAAATGCAAATAATGCATCTTGCACAAAAAATACATAAAAAACTAAGCTGTTTTTTCCTATATCAGCGCTCGAAATAACGACCAATCAACGATCAATGATCTGCTATTTTTAGAGAAATTTCAAAAAATTTAAAGGAAAGTAACCTGTTTTCGTGAAAAAACATACATTTGATCGGCTAGCTTTGAAAAACTATTTTGAGCGCTGCTATATAAAACAATTACATCATAATTTATTAGTTGTTTTCATCATAATTTTTGTTTTCAGTTTTACACTCATGATATAAGTGATTATCATTGCTTATTTTAGACACATTAATAACCAGTAATCTTTATTGTCTATTATTTGAAGACTATCAAGTCTATTCAATATATATATATATATATATATATATATATATATATATAAATATATATATATATATATATATATATATATATATATATATATATATATATATATATATACATACACACACACATATATATATATATATATATATATATATATATATATATATATATATATATATATATATATATATATATATATATATATATACACACACACATTAAAGAACAGAGTGTATATGTATATATATATATATATATATATATATATATATATATATATATATATATATATATATATATATATATATATATATATATATATATACATACACACACACATATATATATATATATATATATATATATATATATATATATATATATATATATATATATATATACACACACACATTAAAGAACAGAGTGTATATGTATATATATATATATATATATATATATATATATATATATATATATATATATATATATATATATATATATACATATACACTCTGTTCTTTAAAAACATTTAGCACTCTATGTGTAGAATACACTAACATAAGTTTTATATATATATATATATATATATATATATATATATATATATATATATATATATATATATATATATATATATATATAGTGTAGTCGAAAGAGACTTTTATGGTAAAAAAAGTCTCTTTTGACTATTTTATCTTGTCTCTTAAGCTGCATTTTATTGTTGTGGAAATATCAAAGCAATTAAATAAATGCGGAAGTACATTAAATTTTATTGTTTTTTAAAAAAAACCTAATAATAATGAGTAGAAATTTTTTTTTAATTAGTGGTGTTTTTGTTATGTTGAAAAACATTTTTAAAACATGCGTAAGTGTTGCTGCATTGACTATCTTATAGCCTGACTCGCAACGGAGTGCTACTACATCGACTGACAAATAGCCTGACTCTCAAGGAAGTGCTGCTACATCGACTGAAGGTTTGGTTTAGGCAGGCAATCTATCATTTAACTTTTTTTTTAACTTTTTTTAACATTTTCTGGTCAGGCTTATTAACGCGTTCTTTAAAACAACAGTTTATGGGAAAAACTTTGTGACTACCATGCAAGACTATATATATATATATATATATATATATATATATATATATATATATATATATATATATATATATATATATATATATATATATATATATATATATATATATATATATATATATATATATATATATATATATATATATATATATATATAAATTATGTTAGTGTATTCTACACATAGAGTGCTTAATGTTCTTAAAGAACAGAGCAATAATAAATTAGTAAAAACACTTATTTAATTTTTAGTTGTCTTCAATATCATGCTTCTTCATCAGTAGGTTCATCAGGAAGAAACTTCTTCTTTATGCTCATTACACTGAATAGCTTGGTTCTAACACCATTGGCCCTGCTTCCACTTAAGATTCTGTAATTCTCAATTTCTTATTTAGATAAAAAAACTTTGTGACTTGATGATTTGACTTCCAGACAACCCTAATCACTTACCTCTCCTGGATTTGTGTCTTGCCTCTTGTGTCTTGACCCTAGCTTGTGTTCATTACTTCTTTCTCTCGTATAGTTGGCTCCAGCCATGAAATGATCTCTATAAATCTTTTATTTTGTACTTTTTTTTCAGGCTCACCCTAACATCACAATACTTACTACTACCCTCCCTTACCCTTAGGGCTCCAGAGGTGTTGTCTGTACTTTCAAGATTATTTAACAACTGCATATCAGTGATTTCCTGCCTACTGGAGGGTGGGATCTGTTATTTCTATTTTTGAAATTCTGGAGAACGATATGACTTGTCTGACTACTATTTCTTTAGACTTTTTACTATCATTGGCAAGGTTTTTGAGTTTTTAATTACCAAGCACTTAATCTCTCATCTTGAATCTGATAACTTACTTTCTTATAAACAATATGGATTTCGGTCTTCTTTTTCTATTGCTGATTTGTTAACGATAATAACCGATAGGTTTTATTGTGCATAAGATAGATGTGGATAGGTTAAGGCTATTGCTCTTGGCATTTCTAAAGCCTTTATTAAAGGCTGGCATGCTGATCCTCTCCATAAGCTCTCTTCTTAAAATGTATCAGGTAACATCTTTAAGGATATAGAATCCTTCCTTACCAATCATAGTATAAATGTTGTCCTCAATGGACAGCACTCTTTTTAATTTCTTGTAACTTCAGGGGTTCCTGAATGTCTTATCCTTGGCCTAATATTTTATATTAGTAAAATTATCTCCTAGAAGTTCTCACAGCAACATTGTTTTCTGATGATACGATTTATTCTTGTCATAATAAATAGCCAACGTTCTCTGATTGCTTGGAGGGAGCATTTGTGATTGAAAAAGGATCTCGCTTCTGCTACACATGAATTCTCTCCGTTGCTGGTGAACTTTAACTCAGATAAACCTCAGCTTTTCTCAGCAAACCGTTATCACAACAATCTAGATCTTCCTTTATTTATGAACAGTAATGTACTCGATGAGTCATCTACCCTTCATCTTCTAAATTTAACTCTTATTTCCGATATTTCTTGGAAACCATATACCAAATCCATTGCAAAATAAGCATTTGCTAAGGTTGCATCTCTTTGTGTTCACCACTTTCTTACTTCGGATTCTATTCTTTATTTCTATAAATTTCAAATCTGTTCTTGTATGGAATACAGTTGCCATACCTGGAGCGGATCTTCGAGTGATGCCCTTTCTCTTTTAGACAAGGTGCAAAAACGCATTGTAAACATAGTTGAACATGCTCTTGCAGCCATCCTTCAACCATTATCATATTGTCATACTATTGCTTCTCTTTCTCTTTTCCATAAATACTATAATGGGTGCTGCTTTAAAGAGCTAGCATCTCTTGTACCATCTACAAAAATTCATTCTTGTGTTACTTTTCATTCAATTAAATCTCATCTTTTTACTTGTTTCTCAGTGCTCCTAAGATTCTTTTTTTTCTGTTTTTTTTTTCCTTGAATCTTTTCTCAGTTCTTTGTAATTTGCTCCCTTCATTTTGATTTTTTGATTCATATAATTTGCAATCTTTCAAGTTGTTTGTTAGTCGTTATCTTGCTTTATAAACTTTATATTTTTACTTCCAGTAATTTCCAACTCTAATAGTGGTTCCTTGCAGCCATGTTGAAAATGAGAGTGTTTTAAAAAAAAGCTGACTGGAATTCTTTTTGTGAGTATCTGTGTGACTGTCATTATGATGATGTCTTTTTTCTCTATGCTGATAGTTGCACCTCCTACGTAACTTCATGGACACAAGCAGGTATAGAAGTTTTTATTTCTTACTGCTGGTTTAAAGTCAAGCTTTGATCTTCTTAATAGTATTCACCTTCTTGTGCAGCTGCTTTATCTAATAATAATCATTTTTTTTATCTTTTTTAACAACTTTCTTCAGAACAAACGCCTTTTTTATTGCAAGAAATCAATGTAAAAAGGTTTTGCCTGTTAATAAGCTCCAATATTCTCAGTTTACTTAATCTCTTATCTCAGAAGTGGCTATGGCTTGTGGTCCAGACAACATTCCTGTCATAGTCGTAAAAGTGTTCTACAGAACTCTCTTCAATTCTCTTTTAAACTATTTAAGTGTTTGATTGAATCTTGTTTTCCTGTCTGCTAGAAAATAGCATTTGGTTTCTAGCTTTTAAAACTCTGAAGAACATTTTGACCTTCTTTCTATTATTAGCAAGGTCATTGAGCTTTTTATCAGCAAATTTCTAACATCCCATTTTGAATCTAATAACTTATTTTTTGACAATCAAAATTGTTTTTTTAATCTTTTTGTTTTATAACTGACTTGCTAACTGCTGTGACTACAAAATTATGTCTTGCATTAGATAGAGGCGGCAATACAAGTGCTATTGCTCTTGATATATTTAAAACTTTTGATAAAGTTTAGCATGCTGGTATTTTTCATAAGCTTGCTTCATATGGTGTATCTAGGAAAATTTTTGAGATTATCAAATAATTTCATTCAAAACCGCTTTATTAAAGTTATCCTCGAAGGCCAACACTCTTCTTCATTTCCAACATCTCCAGGGTACTTCTCCTCTCATATGTTTCCTTATGTTTCATATCGTTTCCTTAATTAAATTTAATGATTTTTACTTAAAGTTTGATTTTGTCGTTTTTGAACACAGATTTGTAAAGAGCCATTTTTTACCACAGACATATATATATATATATATATATATATATATATATATATATATATATATATATATATATATATATATATATATATATATATATTCCTATAATAAATGTCCCAGCTTATCCAGCTTGGATAAGCTGGGACTAGCTGAGATAGAGTCAGAATTGTTAACAAGGCAATGCCAAGGCCACAAGTTACAAGGCCAAAAGTTACAAGGTCAAGGCCAAGATTAAGAGTTTCAAGGCCAAGGTGTATGCAAAGATTTTTAAGACTTAAGACTTCAATTTTGCAATATGTTAAGGCCAGTTCTTCACAAAACTGTAAGTAGCAAGTGCTGTGAAACTGAAACTACATAATGTAAAAATAGACCAAGGTTATGTTCAGAGTTCAACAAAATCAATAAAAAAATGTATTTTTTCTCAAAGCCAAAGCCAAAACAATCAAGGCCAAGGCCAAAATTTTCAAGACCAAAGCCAAGGCCAACAGTTTCAAAGCCAAGGCCAAGGTCTAAATATTTGGCCTTAAGGCCAGGCCAAGGCCAAGGACTAACAACTCTGGATAGTGTTCACATTATCACATTCAAAAGTGATGACTTTCACAAAAGTTTTCACAAAAGACTGTTCTATTCTCAGGCTTATCTTTTGTTCTTTTTTCTTTTAAAACCTTTTCTTTCTATTTTTACAAATTTTCAAAAATCTTTTTTTTTATTTTTTATATTCTTTGCTTAATTCAATTTTTCCTCTTTTTTTTTTTAATGTTTTTTTTGTTGACAAAAAAAAAGTTATTTTTTCTTTCTGAATTTATTGCAGTGGTCACAAAGACCATGTTTGTAACTTGTGTAAAGGCCACTTAAGTAGTAGCTGGAAGGATTATAACTATCTCCAGATTTTTTCAAATAAAGAATAACATTTTTCTAACAGGCAGGATAGCAAGTTTGAGTAATTCTTAAATAGTTCAGGTTGAAGAGAATTCTTTTTAAATAAAATTATTTTTTCATTAAAGCTTGAATAAGCAAGTTGAGTTAGCAAGAAGAATTGAATAATTAAATTACATTCTTCTTACATAAATTATTTTTTCTTTGAAATAAATTTTAAAATAATTTGCTCTGACCTTATTTATTTATTAAGCTTTTAAACTATTCAAAAAATTTTAATTGTTAAAAATTCAAAAAAATAAAAATAATTTTATAAAAAAGATGTCAGTTCACCAAGTTGATTTAAGTTAGTTTTTTCTGTAAGTTTTAAATTAGGCCAGGGGGTTTTTTAATTAGTATTTTTCTGTAAGTTTTAAATTAGGCCAGGGGGTTTTTTAACTCTCAAGAATCACAAAATATTTAAGTTAACTTTAAAATAATTTGTTCAAGGTTCTGATGGGATGATAAAGACATGGAATTTAGACTCTTGTACACTTGGAAATACAACTGAAGAGCTTGGAAATCAAATCATGTCTCTAGATTTTTCAAATGATGGAGCTTTCTTTGCTACTGGCGGAAAGGTTTATATTTATTTTTTGTTCATTCTTTTTTTTTTACAACACCACTTCACCTATTTAGTATAAAATGGTTTGATTGTTTTTAAACTTTGCTCATGACAATGATGCAACAATGATGCTTCTAAAAACTACTAATCAAATTTTTAATTGTGTTTACTGTAAAAAATGATTTAGGTTTTCTAAAAAAACTGCAAAAGCAGTTGTTAGTTATATGTTAATAAAAAGATAAATAGTTTGAAGATTTCTTGTTTTGACATAGACAAGTAAATATATTCATATCACATATATTCCAGCACGCACATACATATATACACAAATGCATGCATGCATATAAATACACACTTACATATATGCATGCATATAAATATATGCATATGTGAAAGTATAAGAAGTAAACGAAGAGATAACTAGATAAGTTTAAAAAAAAAGGTAAGACTAAAAGGAGTTATAATTTAGAAAAACAGTTAGGGTGGTTCAAAAACAATTTTTAGAGTTTTTTTCAAATCAGTGTTCTCTAACTTTTAAATGTGTTTTATTTGATAATTTGGCAAATTTTTTTTTCCCTAAATTTTTATAAAGTTTTGTTTCTTTGAAACCCAGATTAGCATACTTTAGAAAAAATTAAATGTGACAATCTTGTATTCATGTATTTTTATCTTTTTGTGATATATTTTTAGTTATCAAAAAAAGCTAATAAATAAATTTTCGATAAATTTAATTTTTAAACTTTTTTTTTTATATGAATAAATCTATGTCGTTATAATATTATTTTATATTTTTAAGTAAATATTTTTGACATGTTAAATTTATTTATATTTTAATTAATTGGGGGTAATATGAAAACAGCTTAATTTGTTTTACTGTATTGGCGTTACCTGCATTACCATAAATAAATATCAGGACCTTGCAGCAAAAACATAAGTCATTTTTTTGTTATTTTGAAATTTATGTAACATTTACAATAAAAACATGTTAACTTTTGTCCTTGAGTTTTGAATTGAATCTTGTTACAAAGTATTTTATCATTCAACAATATTATTTTAACTCATGATATGTTTTGAGCTTGGCTTAACATAACTCTAATTTACACAAATTCATAAAAAATGAGTTAACATGTTTATGCAGTAAGGTCTTCATATATATTGATTATTATATTTGTTTATAAACAGTATATTATTCAGTTTAATTTTAAATTTATGGCTAGGATGCTTGTGTTCGTTTATATGATAGCGATACACTAACACTGTATCGTTCATACAAAGGAAGCAACCATTTTGATATTGATAGGTGAGTTAAATTCACCTTTTTCTATGTAAACAAATTGTCTATAGTATATATATCTTTATTTATTTATGTATATCTTTTTTGTTTTTAATCTTTAATTTATAGTTAATAACATATTGTTGTTATTGTTCCAATATTAAAAAAATTTCAGCTTCAACATATTATCTGAAATCCCAGGGCATTCTCAGAAGGTTTTTTCTGTAAAGTTTTTGCCTGATGATAAAAATCTATTAATTACTGCTAGTTGGGATAGAAAACTAAAGGTAATGATTTAATTTAAAATCAACATTTATCACAACCGATATTCAGACTTATCTAAATCATAAGCACAAAGTTTTTTTGTTTTTACTTGATTTTTTAATATAAATCAGTCAAAATTGATTTATCAAAAGTTCGCCTTTATTTTAAAACATTTACTAAAAAATAAATGGAACAGGTGTGGGACCTGCGCTTAAAGAATGCTGTAAAATCGATTTCTGGTCCATTTGTTTGTGGTGATGGCTTAGATGTCTCTCACAATACAATATTGACTGCTTCTTGGGTGAAACAAGATGCATTGCAGGTCTAACATTTTTAATTTTGTATATGAATGTTTTGAATTTTGTTTAGTGCATCTGAAGAGCTTATTTAAATTAATTTTTTTTAACTTTGTATAGCTTTGGGACTTTTCGTCAGGTCGTCTTATTAGCAATTTAGATTTTCAGAAAAACAATGGATGTGGAGAATATTTGTACTGTTGTCGATTTTGGAATGATAAGTTTGTTATAGCAGGTGGTAGTGGCACAAATGATCTGAAACTAATTAATATTAACTCTAACAAGGTTAGCAAAGTTTAAAAGTTTTTTTATATAATAACTGAAACCCACCCTAATATATATATATATATATATATATATATATATATATATATATATATATATATATATATATATATATATATATATATATATATATATATATATATATATATATATATATATATATATATATATATATATAACCCTCGGAATTAAGAAAAATGAGGTCGGCAATAATTTGCCAACCTCAATCTTTTTGAGGTCGGCATCAGGTCGGCAAAAATTATTTGATACAAAGGTCTGACCATAAAACATATATATATATATATATATATATATATATATATATATATTATTTGTTTTATATATAATTTATTATTTATTTTATAAATTATTTCAATATGGTATAAATTTACAATAAAAAAAGTTCAACTTAAACTTAAAAAATTCAACTGAAAAGAAATAATACTTAATGAAAGGTGTCTTTCTTATTTCTTATTTTTACAGTCGATATAAAAACACAAAAAATGAAAAAAATATCAATCAACATTCTGCACAACCGATGATCAGACATTTCTCAACTAGGAGCACAAAGCTTTTTTTGTTTGTTTGTTACTTAAATTTTTTTAAGCTTAAAAACTTTTGAAGTTTAGAAAGAGCTATTCTTCTGTTGGCTCACAATTACTTAATAATGTTAACCTTGCTAAAATATTTATTTAATAATAATAATAATAATAGCTAGGTTGGCATATATCTACTATGCTTGGATTATAAGACTTATTTGATACTCTTGATCTAAAGATAACAGATTCCATTTTTATCAATAGGTTTTGTGAGAACCTTTTTCGTACCAATAATCTGTATGATCAATTTTCTTTTTTCTATAAGGCAAATATTGTTTTTGTTTTTTGTTTGTTGTTGTTTTTTTTTGCAAAAAATGCAATGTTTCAGCAAAATTTCCTTATCACAGGCGCCGGCACTGGGGTACTACCACTCGAATTATTTTCCTAAAATTGCCCCTGTATGTAGATAGATGCCTATACTTATCTCTTTTGACACTTGTACTATATGGTGATATCATTTCACTTTGTTTTCTCAAAGTATACCCAGAATGCTAAGGCTATTTTTTCTTTGATTTTCTCCACATTGGATAACCTTGCGCTCTTGTAATTCTCCTTTTTTATGCTACTAAATATAATTATTTATTTATTTTTTTTCAAAATGAGGTCTAAATGTTCAACACACGAGAGAGAACGTTTATTAATTTACAGAAATTTTTCCCTCCCTGTTTATTAATTTTTACTTATTATCAACAACAAAAAAAGCATCTTGAAACGAAAACAAAGAATCAGAGTTTAGGTTTTTGATTATTTCTCACCAATAGTAAAAAAACTTATGTAAGCATGTATGCAGTTATGTAAGCATATTAAATCCTATTGAATTATATTAAAACTGATGTTAAATGATGCGCATTTGACCACAAGCCACACTAGAATTAAATTGTTTATTACTGTTCTGTAAAAATTCCCAACCACCCTTTTATTAAGACCCCCTCTCCCCACTTATTGCATCTGGACTAAAATTTCACCCACGCCACCCTTCTCCCCTACCCTTTTATTCCCATCAACTCCCCTCTCCCCCACCTTTTATTAGGCACCCGAGAGTACAGATTTTATCAAAGCTAATTTCATATCTTGTGGGAAACATCCAGTACTAATAGAACCATTATCTATTTTTGCTATAAAACAGTTGAACTTGATCTGCAATGTTCAATTAACATGTTATTTATTAGACCGTAACTGCTTTTTGGAGTAAAACTATTAACAATTTGAATTATTGACTCATGAGATATTGATTTTAAATTCCAAGTAAAATCTGTGAACGGAAGATATTTGGAAGAAAAATATATATCAGATATTCAAATAAATACAAAACCTGTATGTGTTTAATTGAATTTGTAAGAATTTCTTTGTAAAATCATTTCTTTGAAATCCAAAATAGAAGGTAAGGATGTGAAGTGAAAAAAAAGAATACTTGAATTTTTTTTCTGATTTAGATGCCTTGGAGCAACAAAAACTTTGAAAGAACTTGCATTTGGAAAAAAAGTATAGGGGGTTTAAAGTCAAACCTAATATTTTTTACCCCAGAGTTCTTGGTTATCGTTTTACATAATAACATAAGGTTCAAAATTGATCAGTTATTGTGCTTTGAATGTCTTAATATTTTTTCTCTAAGTTGTTCAGAAATCATTCAATACATTTGAAAGAAGAGGAAAAAATATTAATTTTGTGACTTTCAAAACCTGTGTCTTTTTTGGGCTTTCTGGTCAAAAGTTAGCATACTTTTCAAATCCCTGGTCCGTTGATCTAAATAATCTGTTCGAATAAATAAGATTATTTATAATTTTGAAATTTTCTTAGCACAAAGTTTAATAAGTTTTATTCTAATAAATATGTGGATACTTTTTTTATTAAAAAAACACTTTTACTTCGTTTTAAGTAAAAGTGTTGCTACACATTACATCTCGAGAATCGAGAAAGTGACCTTATTCTTCTGCCCGTTTTATCCAATCAATAAGTGACAATTTTTTTTCAAAACTGGACAAGGTCAGATTATTGATGATTATAGATAAGAAACAGCACAGAACCAATGATAGAATTTTGTGGTATGCCATAGTTTCTAGAAATATAAATGAACGTTGCCTCTTGAGGGCAACATTCTCTTTTATTTATTTACAGAAAAGAATGATTGGATAATCCGTTTCATTTATTGATTCTAAATAAAGTAAAAAATAATTTGTTAAACCTTTTTTTTTTCGCAGATCTTGATAATAAATTTTTAAGCTGATACAAAAAAAATAGTATTTTGTATTTGCTAGTTGGTAAAAAAAAACAACTCAGGAATTGATTGATTTTCTAAATAATTAGATCAAATTTCATTCTAAAAAATAAAGAATGTAAAACTGTATATATTAATAAAAATAAAGAATGTAAGAATGTATATATTAAGTATACCAATGATTATGTTTAAAACATACTAAAAAGAAATCCTATTAAATTAAAAATCTTTAACTTATGCATCCTGCATATTCCAATTAACAGACAAAAAGAATTGGAAGAAACGAACATATAGTCTAATGACTGTGCATTTTTTCTCATGAACGAAAATGATGACCTATAAATGTTACACAGAGATTTCTCCACATGCATGTTTGTTTTGTCCTTTTATGTAACTATGACGATTATATTTAAAAAAAAAACTATTGTTATAAATGAAAAAAGTTTATTCAAAATTCTGGTTCTGGTAATACTGCTCTTTTAGACAAGAGCGATAAAAAAAAATAATGGCATGTATTTCTCTTTCTTGTTTTGTATCATTATTTACTTTAGGTGGTTGATTTTTTAAACACATTGTACCCAGTTCAATGCATAGAAGTGTTTCAGAAGCATGAACTTCTTCTTAGTGGTACAAGTCGCAATTTTCTTCGAGCAAAAGTGTTTTAAGAGTGTTTTCTTCGAGCAAAACTGTTTTTGTAATTTTTTTCTGTAATTTTTAAACATTATATATATATATATATATATTTAAATATTGAAAAATTGTAAATCGTTATGTAATATAATTGTTAATAATAATTTTTAAAATGGTTTTATTTAATTTCATTAATAATATAAAATGTTAATCAATAAAACTTTTTTTTTTCGCTATTAAAATCGACTAACGGTGTCTCGGGCACAATAAACCTCCTTGCCCCATTATGGGAATTTACTATTGGATTTTCCCACGCCACAAATATTGATTTTGGTTCTTCGTTGAAATCTATCATGGGTGTTTTAGGTACAAGTCTTTTGTTGTTTTCGTTAATGAAATTTACCATTGGTGTTTCAGGCACAATAAACACCTTATTTTTACAATTGTAAATGCTGCTGTCAATAAACGGCGACTCAGGGACAATTTGCTCTTTCGTTTTCCGTATTTGATGCGCTATACCCTTATTCAAACCGCAGTTCCGTATGCTAAATTTTTTCGGTACAGTATTGATTTTATTTATGCTACCATTCAGTATCTGATCTAAAATATAAAAAAAAAAATTACTTGACTGCTCATCTAGAATATGCGTTTTTTTAATGGCTAAAAAAAGGAATATGTGCTTATATGTGCATTACTTTAAACGTGGTATTTTATTATACTTCAACACAAGAAGGAAAATAATAATTTATGTAATTTATAAACATTTTTCTTGATGTTAGAAAAAAAAACTAATTTTGAAAAATATTTTAATAAACATTTTAATGAATTTTTATGCGCTTTAATTTTTTTTCTTCTTTAACCTCAGGTGCATGTATGCGTGTGTTTATATATATATATATATATATATATATATATATATATATATATATATATATATATATATATATATATATATATATATATATATATATATATAAAGGGCTTAAATATATATATATATATATATATATATATATATATATATATATAAAGGGCTTAAAAATATATATATATATATATATATATATATATATATATATATATAAAGGGCTTAAATATATATATATAAAGGGCTTAAATATATATATATATATATATATATATATATATATATATATATATATATATATAAAGGGCTTTTTAATATATATATATATATATATATATATATATATATATATATATATATCTTTTAATATATATATATATATATATATATATATATATATATATATAAAAATCCTGAGTTTTTGCAAAACTGTCAGTCATGAAGCAATAATATTTTGCAATTGTCTTATTATAATCATACATTGTATGCATAAGTTTTCAGTTTGTAACTTGATGAATTTGTTAGATGAAAGTAGATGAAAAGTTAAAATGCAAAATTCATAAAGTTGTATTTATATATCGCAAAGTTAGAATTATTTTATTCTACCTTTTTGAGTTTTGAGATAGAACGATTTAAAAAATAAAAACTTCAAGCATATAAAAAGATTTTTATTACTTATGTTTTCTCCAAAACTTTTTTGATTTTAACTTAGGTTTTAATATAGTAGAAAAAAATTATTTTGAGATACATGACACAATCAATAACTCGATTTTTTTTAAAAGTGGAGATAAAACAAAATAATTCTAATCTCATTATATATTTATTATATCGCGAGGTGTTGGGAGTGACCCACCCCCCAGCCATCTATATACGAATATATATATAATATATATATATATATATATATATATATATATATATATATATATATATATATATATATATATATATATATATATATATATATATATATATTCGTTACTTTTTTATTAAAAAAAGTACTGAAAACTTACCTTTACTTTCTGCTTTACTAATTCTTTTTGGACTACATAAAGATTCATTGATTAGAGCGCCATCGTAGAATGATTTTTCAAGATCATCGGGAAAATGAAGATCTTCTTGTTTAATAGAAATAGAAAAAACGTGATTTTAGTGTGAAAGTTATTGTATTAGTTATTATAACGTAGTTATATCAGTTTTTATCTTATATTAAATTCTTTTATTGTTAGAGAGGCGTCTCTTACAAGGGTGTGACCATTTGCACTCCTTGCAAAGTCAAATATTTAATTAAACAAGTTTTGAATTAACAATTTAATTCAAAAATGTTTGTTAGTACATGTTAGTATAATAATTTATTTTTAATGGTTTAAATTCTATAATAGCGCTTTTATTTTTAACATCTAAAGAACAATCCAATTATTAACAACAATTTAAAGACAGAAAGAACTATATATATAAAATATTCTTTTAGTTCAAAACAAACTAAATTATTTATATGGCAAATGTAAAATTACTTAAAAAATTAAAATACAGTTTAAAAATCATTTTAAGTATGGGTAAAGTTGCCGAAATTGGAATACCTTAGAAATAATTATTTTTTAACCAAAGATGACTAAACTATAAAAACATTTGATTAATGCAAAAAGACAACCCTATCATACAGGGTGGGGATTTACAAATGGTTTCCATGGTTTTTGTGTTCGCAAAACTAGAGCACTGTTTTGGTTCATAAAAAACTGTATTTTTCTGAAAATATAATCAAATTAATAATTTATAATTATAAACCATAATTTAATATAATCGTTTGCACTGTTATTGCAAACTATCATTGTTACAGTTCCAATCAAGACAACCGGTTTCTATATTGGAACACTTTGGTTCCTTGACCAGAACATCTCGCTTGTTAAAAAAGAAAAAAAGTGTTTAAAAAAATTGTTTTCACTTTACAGCGACAATCTAAACAACTCATTCAAATAACTTATAATAGAATTACAATTGCAAACGACAAAACGAAGTTCTACAAATTAAAAAATGTACAATAACTTTAATTAATATGACATTTTTTTACTTTATCAATTAAAAATCACAAAATAAGGTCTTATTTTTGAGGTTTATAATTGTAACATATTTTAAATTGCACCTTAACTATTTCTTTAACCCTATGAATTTATCACTGAGTAAGAAAAATTGTCACTAAGTAAGAAAATTTAAAATCTAAATCTAATCTAATCTACTCTGAAACCTAAAAAAAAAATCTTGCATCACTAAGTAGGAAAAATTATCGTCATGACCAAGAAAATGCAAGCAGCCGTGGCGCAGTGGTTAGAGTTCTGGCTCAGAACCCAGAGGTCCCAGGTTCGACGCCAGCTCTAGCCCAACAAGCGACATGGGTACGGAAGGAGGCGTGAACTTCCTGTTAAATGCTCTCCCGCGGTGCTCTATGATAAGACCGTAAGGACTTCTGGGAGCACCTAAATACATGCAAAAAAAAAAAAAAAAAAAAAAAAAAAAAAAAAAATACTTCTAAGTATTTTGTTACGTCATAGCAATATTATGCTTGCAGCAGATTTTAAATTTTAAAATTGTATAACCCACAAGTTAAGATTATATTTAAAAAAAATTTGACTTGACTACTTTAGTCTTCCGATCAGAAAAATATAATTTTGAAAACAAGTTGTTTAAATTTTGATGCAGAAAACATTATTGATTTGTTCATAAAAAATAAAAATGGTGTGTTTGCAAGGCATAAGTTTTAAAAATTTTTCAAAAGATCATTAATATTAAAGCCAATAATTTCACCTTTTTAAATAGTTTTTTAATAGTTTAAATTTTTTAAAAGGATGTTCACAAATGAAAAGTTTTCAGTGCCTTTTTTTTTACAACAAGTTCTAGAAAATGTGATCTAAAAATACTTTCTCCTTCTGAGTATTTATGGATCCGTTCCTGTATTTATAGATTTTCTATGACTCTCCCATTTGTAGCATATTGGCGGGAATTCAATAAAGGTCCGGTACATAGTTTTAAAAACAATTCATCAATAAAAAATAACACACATTTTGTGAGCTTTATTAATGAATAAAAATTCAAAAATTTTATAATTGTAAGATAAAATTACAAAACAACCGGCTTTAACAGAGAAAAACTTCTGTCTTGGTTTACATTTTACAACATGCAAAAGTCATACATAAAAAGTTAGCAAAATCGTACATAAAAAGTAAGCAAAATCATCGGAGAAACTAAAGTATTCTAGTTTTATAAAGTTTGTCAAGTAATTTCTTATTAGCCATAAAATATGGTTTCATATTTGTGAAACTAAAACTTTTTTTTTTTTTTTGAAATAAAAACTTTTTATATTTTAACTTATAAAAATAATTTATTTGATTTTAAATAATTTATTAAACTTTATTTACCTAGACATATTTCTGGTTTTCTTTTGTTAGACGTCTGTTTAACACTTTTAGAACCACTCATACAAACCGTTTTTGTTAAATGTATCTCTAAACAGTTATAAATTTTTTTCGTTTTGTAATTCAACTCATTATTTAAAGAATTATTCATTGTAAAACTAGCGTAGCTATTCGATTGGGTAATGGGAGGTAAGAGCGAAAAGTTTAAAAGCGAAAGAACGTAAGAGCGAAAAGTTTTAAAGCGAAAGAACGTTAAAGCGAAAAGTTTGAAAGCGAAAACCGGGAAATCGAGTATCGCGATAAGTTCAACAGCAACAACAACTGAAATTTATTGAAATTTTTTCTGATTTTGTTATTATCTCAATATTATATTATAGATTATTTAGCGTTTGGATTTTATTTTTTTTAAATTGTTAATATTTTTATAATTATAAGTTAGTTATAGTTTAGAATTATTTATTTGATATTCTAGCTGAGAGTTATAGTTACAGTTTGAGTTTATTAGATTAAATAAATAAAAAAAACTTATTGTATATAGTTTAGAGTTTATGTATATAGTTTTAGTATAGAATTAAATGCATATAGTTTAGAATTATTTATTCATTTGGTATTCTAGCTGAGACTTGAGTTACATTGCGACAAAAAGGTATAAAATCTTGCATAAAAATTATAATTGCACTACAAGTTAATAAGTTATAGATAAAAAAAAAAGATTTGCATAATTTCTTATTGATATTATTTAATTTTAATTTGTTTTTTGAAATTTATGTGTTAGATTTCAACCAAAAAATTGTTTTAATGTTTAAATAAAAATTATTCATAAAATTAGAAAGATACAAGTTTATAATGTTCTTTTGTTTTGATTAGTTATGGTGAGTTAGGCTGTCTACCCTTAATACTTTTAGAAATGATGAGATAGTTAAACCTCAAGAATTGATGTTTAAATTTTGAGTCATAAACTAAAAGCCAGGGCAAATATATCAACACAACATATTTGAAAACGAGACATATAAAGGTTAGTTTTTAATATAAATTATTATCTAGTAGATAATAGTATCTACAAACATTACTATTTATGTAAATTAAGGCAAGCTTTTATCAATAAACAACTCTTGAAATATAAATGCTTAATTGGTGGTGTGCAAAGACCTTTGCTTAATACAATTGTGCTAAATTTCAGTCTTTGAATATATTGTCAACTTATGATACAATATTAAATTTAAAAGTATTCATCAATTCAAACATCTCTATAAATATTTATGTCTTATCTCTATAAATCTTACATCCATCCCTGCATGGAACACTTTTGCCATATCTTAATCAGATCTTTCAGTAATGGCCTTTCTCTTTTAGACAAGGTACAAAAAGGAATTGTTTTTGCACCTTGACCTTTGCAGCCAACCTCCAACCATTAGAATATTATCATAATGTTGCTTCTCATTTTATTTTTTATAAATACAATTATGGATACTGCTCTAAAGAGCTAGCGTCTCTTTTATCATCTACTAAAACTCACTATTGTGTTACTCATCATTCAATAAAGGTTAATCCTTTAATATGACTGTTCCTAAGTGCCTAAAAAGTTCTAATCTGTTTTTTCGTGAAACTTTTTTTTCACTTGCTTCAGCTTGTTTGTTTTTTTTCATATAATTCGCAATCTATTAATTTTTTCTGTTAGTTGTTATTTTACTCTATAAATTTCATCTTTTCTCTAATAGTAGGTGCTTGCAGTCTTGTTGGAAATGAAAATGTTAAAAAAAAAACATTTCCAATAAAAGCCCTCCAATATATTGTAATAGCTGGGATGTTATGCATTTTACACTTTTTTTTGTGTAACAAAATTCTTTTTTTAGTAATAAAAAAGTTACCAATACAATAAACTTAATATATGATATAAAATTCCCAAAGAAGTAAACTTAAATTAGATTCATATAGAGCCAGCAGTCATTTTCGTTTTAAAAACTATTTTATCTAGTTTAAAAACAACATACTGAACAGTATACTGAACATTAAGTAAATAAGATAATTAATGCTATTACAAACCAATCTGTAGACAAAATAATAAAATATTTGTGCTAAGTAATACAAATGTAGAAATAAAAACTTTACTATACTGAGATCACAAACAATTCATATCATAAATATTTACAAATCATGTAATTAAAACATAAAAAGTAAATAAGTTTCTCACCAATCAATCATCACCATTGAAACTTTTTAAACTAATTAGCCAATTAGCCTTTTTCACAATTAATGACTGAATTTTTAATTTTACATGCAAACAATCCAAAAAACATTACGCAGAATAATTTTTGGGATATTGGCATGTTTTTATATTTCAATAAAATGTAGAACTGCCTTCAAAAAATCTTTTAGGCATCAACCAAGAAGATTCACACAGTTATTAAATCATACTCTTAAGTTGTTCTAAAAAAAAAACCACATTACAAAATAAGAAAGTAGTTAAAAATAAAATAATCTTCTACTACCTCTTGTAAAATGAACTATAAATAATTTTGACAAAAATGTTGCTGAAATTCAACAGGTGGGAAAAAAAAGGACACTGTACAGCTTTCTGTTTACAGAACAAATCAAATCAAAACAACATCATAAAAAAATTGTAGCAAAATAAAATACCTAAAAGTTGAAACAACATATTCCAAGTGTAACAACATCGATCAAGATAATGCCATACATAATGGTCACAATATAAGTATCTTTATTATAGAGACTTATATTGTGATTTTTGACTAATAGACTATAAGTCAAATTTCAGGCAAATGCACCATACAAAAGCCATTTTTGTCATATAAATAATGTCATTAAGTCATTTTTAAATACAACATATAAAAGTCATTTTTGACACAGGCTTTAACTTAAAAGCCTAAAGTTTAAGCTATAATTCATATTTCTAAAGTGAATGTCTGATAACAATTATTAAAATTATTTTAAACAAAAATATTAAAATACTCACTTTGCCTTGCAGATAATTAAACAGTAAATATAACTGGCCGATATGCTGGCACATAAAAGAGAACTACTTCTAACTAACTAAATTTTTTATGCGAAAACAACTAATTTTCCCTATTATAATTGGTATACACACTTAACTTTTACGCTTTGTTTTGGAGCAAAATTCTAAACAATTCAATTGTGCCCTACTCAATTTTCTATAAAGTATAAACTTTTAAAGTTTATAATAAACTTCATGAACTTATTTCTGAAATTGACTCACTTCAATTGTAACAACTTTAAGATGACACAATTCAATGAAAAAGAATAATAGGTTAACTCATATGTATTTATATAAAAATAATAATGTTACCAATGTTATTAAAATGTTATTAAGATGTTACCAATGTTATTAAGATGTTATTAAATCTTAATAACATCTTAATTTAAGAAGTTACTAATGTTGTTAAAAAAATTTTCTCGCTTAACCAATCGCATTCGCTTTTAACTTTTTCGCTTTCCCGACCTTTCGCTTTCAAAACTTTCGCTCTTAAAAGTTTCGCTTTAAAGACACCGAACCATTCGATTGTTATTCGAAATGAATTTGTTTACTATTAAAAGCGGTTTGATTATTTTCAAAAGCGCTACCCTTTAATAAAGTATTTTAATAACTTACTTTAAGTAAACCGTGTTAAACGTAAAGTCTTTCAAAATAAAGTAATTATATTTTGTTAAACTTAATATAGTGTTGTATAGTTAACGATATTTTGTTTGAAATCAAATGAAAACTAATTTTTCTACCTATTTTCAGACAGATTTTTTAAAATTTATAATAATTAAATATTTTGTTGAAATGGCTCAAACTAAAATTTAAATAGTAAATTATCAAGTTTTTTTAATTTGTATTAATTGTATTATTTATATTTTGTTAATTTGTATTAATTTTAATTTTTTAATTGTATTCTAAAAAAATCTGGTGTTGAACTCCACTAAATTTACATTAAAAATAGATGTTGAGCAGAAACAATTGTTTTTGAACTGCATAATATTGTGTTTATTTAATCTTTTGTTTAATATAATCATTTTTCTTTTAGTTAATAGTTTTTAATAATTTTAATAATAATATGTAATTATCTTCTTCGTTATTTTTTAATATTATAAATATGTATTATTTTTTCATAAGTATGTATTATTATTTTTTATAATTATAAGTATGTATTATTATTTTTTGGTATTATATGAATAATATATATATATATATATATATATATATATATATATATATATATATATATATATATATATATATATATATATATATATATATATATATATATATATATATATATATATATAGAATAATATTAATGATTATAATATGAATGATATCAGTCCGAGACAAATGAATGAATATGATGAATTTGCAAAAAATGTACTTTATAATTTTCAAAATGAAGATATTTTAAAACTTGATTTGTATTATAAGCAACTCTCAGAAGAAAGTGATACAAGAGGGAGATTATTCTGCTCATCGCTTAAAGAATATTGTTATGATGAAATTTTATTAGTTATTACGAATTGCAACAAACAGAAGCAACTTAAATATTTTGCATGGCATTACTTGCAATTGATGACCATTGAACCTTCATTAAGAATTTTATTGAAAGGAAATTTAAATCTGCTTCGTCCACTGCTTAACCTGCACTTACAAGAATGGACAAATATTGAAAAGTCATCTTTAACTCTAGTATCACTTAACTTTATAATTTCTATGTTAGGAGAAAGTGATGATAACTACTATGAGCATGTAGCTGACTGTGGATTTATTGAATGGTTGTATGAATGTTTGAATCAGTGCTGCTTAAGTGCCACTGATGCAAATATTGAATTAATTTTGCTAATTATAAATCTTATACTTGAAGGAACAAACAACTGTAAAAAACAACTAAACAGTTTCAACTTTTCAAGTTTGCTAAGTAGAAAAATTCAATATAGGGAAAATTGTCATGGAGAATTGCTTAAAATTGCAAACCTAACTCACCAGAAACTTTTACTTTTAACAACTGATCAACAAACTTTTGTTGAAACATTTAGGAAAGACTTTATATCTGAGTTGAATAAAAAACCTGAAGAGTCTCAAAAAAATAAATGCTTCTTTGATAAATGTGAAAATAAATCAATATTAACTTACAAGCAATGTTCCCGATGTCACTTAGCAACTTACTGTAGTAAAGAATGCCAGGTAAGTCATTGGAAAGAAGAGCATTCAAAGCTGTGTGGTATTTGAGCTTTAGACAGTGCTATATTTTAAGCAAGCAATTAACAGTACTTTTAAAATATATATGTTGCTTGATTTAGTGTAATGTTTCCCTCTCATAATATTTGAAT